GAGAGGACACCAGTGGGTCCGTCGGGGGCCTGTGTGGATGTGAACACACGTTCCCCAAACCTCTGGCCATGCCAAAGCTCATGCCTTCCCATGCGGGGTCCCGGACCCTGGCTCTGTTCCCTGTAAGTTGGGTAAGGAGAGTAAGGACCTCAGCCATCCTCAGCCAAGCCACGGGAAATAGGGAAATCTCTCATTAGACTGGGGGCGCTCTGAGGACATCACACAAACTGTGCTGAGAGTGGCTTTCCTGCGACCGGTGACTAAAGCTGCGGGAGCCCCTTCCCCAGGCAAAGACAACCCCACCCCCCAGTTTCAGGCCTAGACCACCCCCTCCCCAACTGTTACCCCCAAATCTTTGTCATTCAGTTCCTCCCCAGCAACTAAGAGGCTGACACAAAGGATGGGGGAGGGGAGCCACTCTATCAGACACAGGGCAGTCTTTACCCATCTCCGTCCATCTGAGTCCTGGGAAGCCCCAGCCCCCCAGCCCCCAGCCCCCAAGGCTCCGGGCTGAGGCACCACCATGGTTTTAGTCACATTAATTCACAGAAATGCTGGAAAACTGCCTTAGGGATGGGGAGCCCATGGGAACCTCCTGCCCACAGTGTGCACGACGCAAGTGCACCGAGTCTACACGGGTTGCCACACTCAGACATCCCAGAGGCGTCTACACAGCCTGTCTGCGTCCACACTGCCTGTCCGCATCTCTGCACAGCCGCTGTCTACAAAGCCGTGTCCACACAGCGGGAGGCCCCAGAAAACTGAGGTGCAGGGAGGGGCTGCCCTGCCTGATTTCAGGAGGGAGCGCCGCGCCCGCGGATCCGGGACTCACCGCGCTGCGTCCGAAGCTGTACCGCGTCCTGAGCCCGCCGCGCAAACCGAGCCCGGCCTCAGGAAGCCGGACGGGGCTGAGGCATCGCACTCGGGGCCAAGGCAGCACCTGTGTTGGGGCGGCACCGGGGCTGGGGGCGGGACCTGTGCTGGGGACGGCACGGGCTGGGGAGGCACCTAGGTTGGGAGCCGGGGCTGGACTGGGGGTCTGGACCTGGGCTTAGGACGGCACCGGCTGGGGGCGCCGTTTTCCACCCTCTCTGGGATCAGGGGGGGCGGGGGGGGGGGCGTGCCTTCCCCGCCCCCCACTGGTGCATGACTCGCCCTCCACCTCCCCTTCAGCTACCCGTGCGCTCCTTCCTCTGGGCATCAGAGCCCCGCCCTGCTGGGCTCAGCCCCGAGGGTTGGGGGCTCAGAGGGGACGCTGGGTGCGCCGGCCCAGTGTGCCAGGTCAGGAGCGCTGCCCCCAACCCAGGTGGAGTCCCAGCAGTCGACCACCGCTTTGAGAAAAGGGCCGAACTAGCAGGAGGGGAGTGGGCGTACCAGGTGCTGAGGAACTACGGCGTTGGATTTGGACGGGCCGCCCGGGACCCTGAGGCTGCTGAGGACTGGCCGGCCTCAAGTGGAGGGCAGGGCCTGGGAGGTGAGGAGGTGACCCGGGAAGGAAGGCAGGGGCGGGGTGCAGGGAGCTTGTGCGGAAGGAGAAGCTCAGGGCGCTAGGGGAAGGGGAGCCCTTTGTAGAGAACTGCAACACTTACAAAGAAGCTTTGGGGCCCTGCCTGCTGTAGCTCAGTGGGCTGATCGCCGCTTCGGTTCCCAGGTTCCCAGTCAGGGCACGTGCCTGGCTGGTGGGCCAGGACCCCTTTGGGGGAATTAGAGGGGCAAGCAGTGGATGTATCACTCACACATTCTCTCCCTTCCATCTCTGTAACAGTAAGTAAATAAAACCTTAAAAAAAAAAAGGAAAATCTGAAAAGAAGAAAAACAAGCTTTTGGTTTTCCAGCAGTTTGGATTTACGGGAAAGTCACGAGGACTGCACTAGAGTCTCGACGTAGCTGGCGCTCCGCGTGCCCGTTGCTGACACCGCAGTGAGACACATGGTCACAGCCGACAAACCCGACCCACACAGCATCGGCTAACACACACACACACACTGCGTTCGGACTCCCGTTCCCCCGTCTCCACCCCAGGACCCCCTGTGATGAGCGACTCGTCTCTTTGGGCCCCTCTGGGCTGTGACATTTTCTCAGACATTCTTCCTTCTGTCCGCCCTGGGCAGCGCAGAGGAGGGGTCAAGAGTGTGGCTGATGTCCCTCTCTTGGTCCTCCAGGCGTGTTTCTCAGGGCCCAGCCGGGGCAATGGCCTGGTCTCTTCGATGCACCGGGCAGGGCAGCAGGGCAGCCCAGCCCAGCACCCCTCCCTCTTCCATCTGAGATTGCTCATTTCTGCTAGGAGACCAGGATGCCCTCCCTTGGAACGACCATCGTGGCTCAGGACACTTGCAGGATATTTTTTGAAACAGCCACTTTACCAGCATCAGTTGCAACATGTTTGTGCCCTAAGTGGCAATTCACTTTTTGGAAAAGGCTGCAGGCCACAGGGGCTGAGGCTGGAGTGGAGGAGGAAGTGTCCCCCCCGAGTCCCTGCTTCCACAGCAGGGTCCCATTCATCGAGTACGTGCAGGTGTTCTCCGAGCTGTCACCCCTGCTGGCAGAAGAGGCAGCTGCAGCCCCAGAGGGCAGTGAGGTGTCCAAGGTCACCCAGCTCCACACCTGGGTTCTTCCCACTGCTGCCTCCTTTGAGCAAGGACAGCGAGGCAGGGAGGAGCTGTGACCCCTGAGGGCCACCCTCCTCTCCCCAAGGGCAGCTGCTGGGCTTTCTGGAGCTCTGGCCCCTGACCACCTGGTGATGTGCCAATGCCTTCCCCACGTGGCTGGCGATCCCCACCCCTCTTCAGCCAGCGCCCTTACCCTCCAACCTTGAACTCTGGCATCAGCCACACTCACTTTTCCACTGCAGCCTAGAACCACCTCTCCTGGGTCCCTTGGGCTCAGCCAACAGTTACCTCCTCCAGGCAGGTATCAGGAAAAGCATTTTTGATACCTGCTCCCCAAGGTGGAGCTGCAGGCTTCTCCTGCGCTGACCCGCATCCCGTCCTTCCTCACCAGGCTGAGCCGCCTGGGCCAGACCAGGGTCTGAGACTCACACATTCATTGCTGGGCCCATGTAGGGGGCCTGGCACACAGCAGGTGCTCGGTGAAGACTGGTTGAGTGAATGAATGAATGAGTGAATGAATGAAGAGATGAATGACAAGTGTGTAAGCTCTGGCCTGCTTAGTAAAAGGAAATCACTGCCCTTATAGCATTATTCAAGATGCTCAGCTGTGCACCCCAAAGGAGCAGAAGCAAAGCATGGTCTTCCCACAGCCAACATGCAGCTACTGCTTCCACTGTGAAAAGTGGGGGGCTCTCCCTCACCAGGGCAACTGCTGGGCTCTGCCACCCTCGCAAAGGAGCGCCCACCATCAGTCCTGTAGGATGGACAGACCACCAAGTCAACATAACTACTCAGCGTGGCCCCAGGCACCTGGCCTCAGGTCCTCCCGTGACGGGTGGTGGGTCTGTCCTCACCCCCGTTAGAGGACTCAGAGACAGAGTGTGAACAACCTGACCGAGACTGCACTGAGGCCCCCCTTTTACAAAAGGTTTTTGGAGCTCTGACCAGTATGGCTCAGTTGGGTGGGTGTCATCCTACAAAGCGAAAGGTCACGTTCGATTCCCAGTCAAGGGCACACGCCTGGGTTGTGGGCTTGGTCCTGGTTGGAGTGTGTGTAAGAAGCAACTGATAGATGTCTCTCTCTCAGATCGATATTTCTCTACCTCTCTCCGTTCCTTCCCTTCTCTCCAAAAATAAATACATAAAATCTTTTTTAAAGGAAATAAATTGCTTTAAACAAAGAAAAAAGAAAAAGAAAAGAAAACACCCTGGCCGCTGTAGCTCAGTGGATTGAGTGCCAGCCTGCAAACCAAAAGGTCATCAGTTTGATTCCCAGTCAGGGCACATGCCTGGGTTGCAGGCCAGGTCCCCAGTAGGGGGCGTGCAAGAAGTACCCACACGTTGTTTCTCTCCCTCCCTTCCCCTCTCTGAAAAGAAATAAATAAAACCATAAAAACAAATAAAAGAAAAAAGCTTACTGGAGATCACTAATAGTTAAAGGCACAAACGACAGTGATTTTAAATATTCTAGAATTAACTTGCAGTGATTAAGCCGCCCCTTCCCAGCTGGTCTGCCCTAAACCTCACTGCTGGCTACATCTTGTCTTCTGTTGGTCTCACGGGCGTTGGGGTCTTTTTGCCCAGGAAGGGGGGATGGTGACACTGGTGGCTGGAAGAGTCCACACGTGTCTGCTCAGATCTTGGCTGGCCTGGTGCAGGCTGCTTGGCCTCGGAGCCTCGGCTTCTGTGATGCAAAGAAGGGGTTGGTGACAACGAATGCCCAGCCCAGCGCTCTGGCCAGCAGCCTTCGCCCCCCAGCCCACATCTTTAGAGTCTGTGTTGCTGCCGGGGGGGTCTGCGCTCCAAAGCGTGCCAACCAAATCTGGCCCACGGCCTGTCTGCACAGATGCATGCTAAGAAAGACCTTTATGCTCTTAAATAGTTGGGAAATATCAAAAAGGACATCTTGTGACCTGTGAAAACGACATGGAACTCACATTTCAGTGTCCACCAACAGTTTGAGCCAGTCACCTCGTGGGCTGCACGCTGTGACACTTCTGGCCGCAGCAGCAGCCCTGCCGAGTTGCGACAGAGGCTGCATGGCCGGAGAAGCCCCAACACTCACCACGTGGCCTCTGCGGCAGGTCTATGGCCCCCATGACGGGTGATTCCCTTCCAGGCCCGAGATAACCGACAATGAGCTAGCGGTACCCAAGACACAGGGACCAGGTGGAGTTACTTCTAGGGGCCCTTCAACCTGAAACGCTGTTGTTGGGGTTCTGCACCCACAACGATTGGCGGCACTGCAGCCCACACCTAGCACAAGCCGTGGGTCTGCTGGATACCATCCAGCAGGTGTCCACGCAGGACAGCCCAACCCCACCAGCCCCGCCCTGCAGCCGCAGGTGCGCCAGGCTCCACCCTCTCACCTCAGAAAGGGCAAAGGTTGAGTCCTACATAACAAAAGCTGTTTAATTATAAGGTTCGAACAGAAGCAAGGCCAAAACTGCAAACAAAAACTGTAGGAACACTGCCTTCAAATTCTGTGACATTTGTCTAATTTCTGGAACAGAAAAGATTCCCATCTTTGACACCAATGTACAAAATGGCTTAGATTAAGGCGCAGGCTGAGGGGCAGACAGGGGCCACGTGGGTCCTTTGCCCAGGCCGCCCAGTGGCGACACACAGGTCCCCGTCCCCATGTCCAGGAGCTCCCGTGGGGCCACAGGTCCAGCTGCTCTCCCTCCCAGGGGAAACACACGGAAACAAGTGGAAGACTTTTGTTTTGGAATAAAACTTCTCCCGGGAGAAGTGTGGCTAACAGAGACGGCCCGTGAGTCTGTCTCGTGCTGGTTTTGTGGAGTGGATCCCAGCCCGGCCCCAGGCCCACGGTCTACAGCAGAGAGGAGTGAGGCCGTGCAGCTGGAGGGTCCGTGCCTTCCCGTCACGCCAATGGAGACATCTTCTGAGCGTGAGTCTGGAGGTGGTGTGTGTGGACAGGGAGGAGCGGGCCTCGGGGCCACGGACAGTCCTGCTGAGCTGAAGCCCACTGGCTTCGGGGTGGTGGTGACACATGCAGCACGGTGGTGGAGGGAGGGGACCGGGACACGGCGTCACCGGGCCAACCATCCCATGGCATCTGTCGCCAAGTTCAGAGGTAGAAACAAAAATGCCAGGTCCAGAATATTCTCCCACGTTCCAGAAGCTCCTTGCAGTGTGCTCGCCTTGCTCACGCTGCAGCAGAGGCTGGCAAGTTGTGTGCGCCGGGATGGTGTCGAGAACGTGCAGGTGCCCGAGATGTGGGAAGGGAAGCCTCAGCCCTCTGTGCTGAGAGGCAGTGCAGCCGACGCAAAGGGCAGAACTGGTTACTGCAGGCTCCGGGTGCCAGTCCTGTGGACCCCAAGGGCCTGGCCACCAGGCCTGGCGCCCATCCTGCCTCCGGGAAGGGCAGTCCAAGAGAGGCGACACCACTGGAATTTCAGAAAGTCGTGGCTGTTTATTAAGACATGGAGGGGCTGGATGAAGCACAGGCTCCAGACACCACCCAGGCTGATGGAGGGACGAGGGTCAGGGCTCAGCCCGAGAGCCCCCGTGCATTTACTGTCAGCCTTGCTGGCAGCTCTTAGCCCAGCTCCCTGACCAACCCAGAGGTGGGTGCAGACCCCACGCCAGCTGAGCTGAGAGCCTGAGTCCATACCACTGGGCCTGGGCTCTCAGCATTAGGACCAGCTGGGCCGCAGAAGAGCTGTGGCCCCCAGGCAGGCCGTTCCCCCCAAGCAGGGCAAAGCAGGGCATCTTCAGGGGAAGCAGCAGTGCGGTGTGAGCACCAGATGTGGCGGATCTGCAGCCTTCGGCAGGTGCAGGTGACACTTCCTGCCCTTTCTGAGGTTCCACCAAGAGACTCTGACTAGAAAGACTATGGGGCTGGGCTTGTGGGACGGGGACCTTGCAGGTCCGAGGGGCGTACGGCAGCCACGCAAGCTGGGAGCAGGGCCAGAGGCCGGGTGCGGCTGGGCTCGAAGAGGCAGAGGAAACGTGAGCATCGGCCAGACCAGAGCACCAAGTTGCGGGGCTGGCAGGTCCAGTCTTCGGGGGACAGCGAGGGGCTGAGGCTGCACTGGCCCCTCTAGGCTGAGGTGCCTGGCAGGCCTGTGGGCTCGAGGGTGCAGTTGGCAGGACTTGTAGGCTCCCGGACAGACACACCGGCCACGTTCTGCGGATCAGCCATTTCTGAAGGCTGCTCTGCAGGCAGGGTGGGCTTGGCCTGAGCTTCTCCAGGAGGCTGCTGGGAAAGCACGGCTTCCGAGTCCTTCAGAGGCTGTGGGCCTTCAGCTGAGGCTGGCGCCCAAGAAGGCTGAGGTATATCCTTCTGCAAGAGGAGACAGGCCAACGATGAGGGGCGGGTGCAGCCAGTGGGGCCATGGGGGAGGGGAGGTGGAGGAAGCACTATCCCCAGAGGGTCAGGCTCAGGGACCAGAACAAGCAGATCTAGTCCCACAGGCCAGCATGCAGGCCACAGGAAATGGACCTCAGGCAGAAGCCTGACTCTGACATCCCTGGCTTGTTCCCCACTCCTGAACCTTCTAGAACCAGCCCATCAGCTCTGGGACAAAGTCAGTACCAGTCGGGACCAATACCCTTCGAGGATGGACGGTGGGCACTAACCCGGGCGGCCTTCCCTGAGAGCCTGGGAGCGGTCTGGCCCTGGGAAGGGTCTGACCTGGAGCCCTGCTCCTTTCTGGCATTTCTATGCCAGGACAGATGGAAGGAGTGTTTCGACTTCCACAAGAACCAGGAACGTCCCGTTAACGGTATCACCAGCCCGTGTCGGGCGGCACGCTGAGCCGAGGGTCTGCAGGCGAGGAAGGGCTGAGCTGGCCCGCCCTCTCCCTGCTGTCACTTGTTCACAGCGGGTCCTGACTGAGGTGCCAGGTCCCCTGCAGGGCCCAGAGCCCAGGGGTGACAGCTCTTTCCCTGGCAGAGGGGCTCCAGTGCTGGCCCCGGCCTGGCACTGCACTCTCAATGGGGGAAGCAGTCGGAAGCCCACGCCCAGGCCAATGGGCGCTGCTGTGCTGTGGGACCAGCACCACCTTCAAGTTGCACTCGGCACGACAGCCACACGCTGTCCCCTCCACGAGGATGGCTCAGCGCCACGAGGGCAACGCAGACACAACACCAAATCAAAACCTTCCAGAAACAGACCTGGCTGGGTAGCTCAGTTGGTTAGAGCATCTTCCCTATATGCCAAGGTTGTGGGTTCAATCCCTGGTCAGGGAACATATAAGAATCAACCAATGAATACATAAATAAGTGGAGAAACAAACCAATCTCTCTCTCTAAAATCAATCAATCAATCAATCAATCAAAATGAAAAACAAAAAAACAAACAAACAAAAAGAACAACTTCCAGAAATGGAGAGACACCGACCATGGGATGGGGGCTACAGGGTTTAGTTGTAAAACTAGAGGCTTTACTCAACTTTAATTCTAGTTAGGGCTTATGGGTTACTATTTCTCGCAGACAGTCATAGCAAACTGGTATTCACCGCAAAGCCGCTGCCCGTCCAGAACATGCCCAGCTCCCTGCGCCACAGCGCCAGGGCTCCACTGGTGATCAGCGTGCAGGGCACCAGGTAGAGGAGGGCTGGCTGGCCGCGCTGCATGAGGGCCAGGGCCATGAACGTCACCAGGAGGCCGATGCCATAGGCTAGAGGGACGGAGATGAGCGATGTGTTACCTGGGCCAGCAGTCCCCGAGGCCTCCCCACCCCCACCTCCTGAAGGACCACTGGGAGTGGGGGCGGGGGGGAAGCCAACGGACGCTGGGCACTTCTAGAAGTGAACAAAACCTTCTGGCATCTTCCAGGACATACGCCCCGCCTGGTCCCGCGGGGAGAGGCAAGATGTGAGTTTCAAGGAGAAGGCAGGAGGAAGCAACGGTGCAGCAGAGAGGCTGGGGAGTGGATGGGACCCGGGGAGAGGAAGGAACGGGAGGCCAGGGGCCTTCTGACCGGCAGCCAGCAGTGGTGAGAAGGGCCCAGAACCACAGAAGCAGCTGGAGAAAGAGCTGTAAATATGCCCAAATATCTCATTTTTATAAACCTTTAGTTAGAAATGTAATTTTGAGTTACAATAATGGACACATAGAATTGGGAAACCAAATCTTTGATAGCCTAACCATGACCCTGGAAAAGCAGGTTTTGTTCGCGTGAGACACTGGTGAAGTACTAAGGGTGAAGGGGCGTTGTGTCTGCAGTTTGCTCTCACGGCTCAGAATAAAACCTGCATGATCACGTGTGTGTGAGTGTAAATATGTAACCGCATGTATACGCACAGGCAGAGAGAGCGCGCAGTGAGGCAGCTGTGATGAAGCACCAACCACAGGCAACACGAGAGCCGCAGCGTGGAGCCTCCCACACCGATCTTACCCCAGGAACCCCGCCGTTGTCTCAAGGGGAAGTTACGAAAAAGTCGGCCTCTAACTGGAGGCTCCCTCCGAGACCCAGAGCCCGTCTCCAGCACCTACCTGGGCTCTGTTCTGATCCTCGCTCCACACGCCCAAGGGAAACGACCGCTTAAGAAGGGTCCCTGTACACCAGCGTCGACTGCCTGGGTGCTAACGAAGGCAGATGACGGAAGGACATAGACATTCGGCGGCTCCGTGAGATCTAACAGGTCCCAACAACGGGACGATGGGAACCTCTGGACACAACGCCTAACCCTCACCCTTCCCACCAGCTCAGAGCAGCGGGGACCGGGGACGAGGGCCGCCGCTGGCCCTGGCTGAGCGTGGAGCTTACCGATGGTACAGGCCACGAAGTAGACCCTGGACGACTGCACCTGGACATCAAACCTGTGGCAGTACGCCACGAGCAGCCCTGGTTGGGAAGAAAACATGGGCGAGGAACTGAATCAGACCTCAGATAAGGGCCAGGTGACCCTGTGCGAAGGGTTGTGGCACTGGCTGAGGTCTTCTCTAAGAGCTATAACTTCCCCTTCATAGGCGACCACACTGCCAGCTCAGGGTGGAGCTGTAACCTGGCACATAGGCCAGCACATACCCCACACCACGTCCTGCCTGGGTGGACTCTGTCCTGGGCAGCCGGCCCCGGGCAGGCACATCTGTGCAGCCAGGACCAACAGGGCAGGGCTGCCCCTGGGGCCGAGGGACCACCTCAGCCATGCACCAGCCCTGACTGCCACCCGCACCACCTGCTGGACTCTGTCTCCACCCACCGGCCCCAACCCCACACTACAAGGACACCTGGGTGCCTTCAGGGTCGTGGGGTCACCCACCCATGTGCCCAGTGCCCGTACCTGGGACCAGGATGTCCCCAAAACCCAGGAGGGAGAAGGGCCGGTCACACAGGGCCAGTGGCGAGGTGTTCAGCCTGGGCACCTTCAGGACCATGGGCAGCTGTGGGGAGAGGAGGCAGCGCCTGCAGGCCAGCCCAAGCCTGCCACTCCCCTCCAGCTGCCAGGGCCCGAACGTACCTTCTCGTGTGTGGCTGAGTCCGCAGGCCCGGTCGCCACCTCTACCATGATACTGTTCCCACTCTGACATGGGGGTGGGGGGTGCACATCAGAGTGGGGGCGGAGGGCTGGGGGTTAAGGCAGTGCAGGAGGGCCAGGGCAGGGCAGGGCCGGGCAGGGCCACCCACCTTGGTCAGGAAGGGTGTGATGAACACGAAGAAGACGTCGTAGATGAACAGCACCAGCAGCAGCAGCGTGCAGGCCTGGGGAGAGGCGTCCCGATGGGCCGGGCCGGCACCGCCAGGCACACAGATCCCCGGCACGCACCCCCAGAAACGTCCCCACACTCAGTCCCCCTCCCAAGGGTCAGTCTATTCCCACTGGGACGAAGCCTTTCTAAGAAAGTCTGGGCAAAATCCACCCCAGCCCTCGGGTGACAGGAGACTGGAGAATGCTTCAGAGATACTTAGTTCAGGGCTGGAGGTGGAGCACAGGTCACACTCTCCAGGCTTTCCAGTAACAGGAAAGGCTGGGAGACTTTCATTCTGTAATGGGTCAGCTATGGGTCTGGGGAGATGACGACCCTCTTCATACTCCCCATGTATTTCTAAGCTACTTCCACCAGGTCTTGTGGGCAACAACCTGGAGCCCCAGGCTCAGAAGGGAGGGCCAGGGCAGAGCTGGGTGGCAGGCCACCTGGCCACTCATAGCCTGGGGCCGACAGAAAAGGCCCGCAGGACTCAGGCCCCGCACAGCCCCCACTCCCGTGGCCCTCACCTTGAAAGTGGGGAGGCGGATGGTTTTTAGCATGTAGAGACAGAAGGCAATGCCCAGCGCGTCCTGAAGGATCCAGGCCCACCTGTAGGGCAGAACAGCAGCATCACCTGCTGGGACAGACTTCGCCAAGAGCCTCCACCCTCCTCAGCCACCTCACTGACCCCAGGGAGTCTGACACAGCCAGCACCGGCATGACGCGCCACGCCTCAAAGACTCAGGTGCTGCGAGAGGCAGCAGTGTGGCTTCCACCACCTGTGGGACGGGCCCTACCTCACTGGGATGGGCGGGGCACTGATGGACGATGGGGCAGGAGTGAACAGACCCTTCATCCTGACGCCCGGAGGCCCGAGGGAGACACACACGCACTGGGGCCCGTCCCTGTGCAGCGGTGGCTTTCACACCCAGGTCCCAGGATGCAGGCACAGGGCGGGGGAACTGTGTGTCTCCTGGATTTAAATTTCCTCTCAATAATAATTTAAAATAGTTGAGAAACTTGTGCCTAGCCAGGTTCCACAGACTCTTTTGGCCTGTGGGAAATTAGGGCTTTGACCACCAGGGGCAGGCCCCCCAGACAGCCCTGTGGGAACGAGCAGAGGTAAGGCCCATCCCACATACCTGCATTAACCCATGAGCACCCGGGTTCCACCACCCAGTCACACCCAGAATGTGCACACTGAGTTTGTGAGGCCCCACATCACGGTGCTGAGAAATAATGAGCCTGACAGAGGGGTCAGTGGGGACCCGGGGTGTTTGCCCCGTGCAGCCCCACCGGCCAAGGCCTGGGGGGGGGGGGCGTGCCGGTGCGGCCTCAACTGTGCTGGCCCTACCTGGGCTCTGCCCTCCGCTTCCTGCCTCACGCTGTGGCCGCATGTGCACCTCTTATTAGATGCTTCCCGGGACACGGGACCAAAGGTCTCCAGGCCAGGGTGGGTTAAAGATATGGAAAAGTTCAAAGGCGGCAGGTGGGCACCCAACCACGCGCCATGCTTTCAGCTGCATGGGCCCAGGGGTGCAGGAACTGCAGCCTGGTCTAATTTTATATGATGGAGAAGTCTCCTGGCTTAGATTTAACTGTGAGAGTTCATACTCTCTTTGTGTACAAAGGACTCAAAATATTTTCCCATTTTCCTTCTGCCACTTAAATCTGTTAGGGCTCCAAACGGAGGTGCCGCCAAGAATGTTTGACTGCCTTGGGAAAGGCTCATCGAGCGCGCCAGATGGTGTCGGTGATAGCAGGAGAGGGCTGGGTGGGAACAGGCCGGCTCTGTCCTCCCAGCCCAGCCTGGCTCCAGGCCGCAGAGCCGGTGCACTGCCTCGCAGGAGGGGCCGAGCTGAGGGGAAGCAAGTCCTCAGAGAAGTCAGCCAGCCTCCCTGGACCATCCGTGACAGTGCAGCTAAGCACACCCCTTGGGCACCACTGGGGGAGCAGTGGGGACAAGTGGCGCCAGGGCTGGGGAGCAGCTTCCCCTCCCGCTGCCCAGGGCCCCACTGAGGCCGTCCTGGAGAACACGGCCTGGGGCGCCTGGGCCAAGAGAGTTTGCAGAATCTCATATCCAGATCCAATCACGGTCCGTGTGGCACGCAGACAAACCCAATGAAACTGGATGCGGGCAGCAGGCAGGGCAGCCATAGCTGGGCAGCCGTCAGCTGAGCCCGGGCAGCACCTGGACGCCATGCAGCCACTGCTTCCAGAGGACTGAAAGGAGGGCTTTCAATAACCAAGGAGGTGAACTGACTCCAGGTGCCCCCAAATGGCCTTGGGGGAGGTACAGGACAGTCGCAGTCCAGCACTCAGAGCATCTGAGGACAGCCCTCCAGAGGGAGGGGCCACCCACAGGCCAGGGGCCTCCCGGGGGCCGCACTCACTGGTCCTCATTCCGGAAGACTCCCCACACCACGCTGACAGTCACACAGAACAGAGCCAGGAGCAGCATGCGGACCTGAGGGAACTTGTGGAAGTAGGGCAGGCTGTTGTTGCAGACCCTGGGGACAAGCAGGGGAGGAGGGGACAGTCATCGTGGGCAGTATGCTCCTTGCAATCCCACACCGACCTCTGACCCTTACAGCCTCGTTCCCACCCAGCACCCACAAGGGTCACCTCGACTCTGGCCCCAAAGCCTGACTCCAGCAGGCCCCCTCTCCCCCACACCTCCTGTTGGCCTCCAGGCTCTGCTCGGAGATGAGCCACCCACCCCCCTGCGCATCTGGCCTCACCTTCCTCCACCTCACATTCTGTTAAACCCACAATCCCCACAACCCCCCTTCCTTTCAATACACTTCTGGAAGGGTTCCCAAGAGCAGAGCAGATCTGGGTGGGGGTGGACACTTCCAGTGAGCAAACCTTGGCCAATTTCTAAGCCAGCCTGCCCACAACCCACTGAGCCCACTGAAACTTCCAAGAGCCCACAGGAGCCCACAGGAGCCCGTGGGAGCCCTCAGCTGAGCCCTGTCTCCCAGCTGACTCCAGGTCCCCACCCTCTCACCCTTGTATGGCAACCTTAAAAGGTCTCGTCCCCCTCGTCCAAACCCTTTAGTAGCTGCCCACCTGCCCCGTAAGAACCGGGCTGAGCCCCTGGCAGCAGGGAACCTCCAGGCCTGAACCACCAGTGCATCCAGCCACGTGGCCCAGCCCTGCCTTGTCAGGTGCCCCGCCTGGTGCCCACATCACCCCGCTCGGACTCTGGGTGCCCACTGGGCCTGTCAACCCTGGGAGGGAACGTGGGGGAGGGGGCACCCGAGGAGGTGGGAGGACTGATAAAGCCCACTCACCTCCCTATTCTGTCCTGCTCCCCAAACTGTGAACCCCCAGCAAGCACTGAGTGAGCACCTGCTGTATGCCTGTGCTGTGCCAGACTGGTCACGAAAGAGGGGGGTCCTCATATCATGGAAGCAGAACTTGGAGCCTCAGGGGCCAGGAAACAGGAGACACGGTGGTTGGGCCAAGGGTGGGACTTCAAGAGCAGCGCCATGGGCAAGAAGCCAGGTGGGGCTGGGGAAAATGCCACCTGAGAGCTCACCTGCATTTGCCAAATGGCAGCCTCTGGACCAATGGCGACAGACAGCTGTAGAGGCCCGTGGAGGAGGCCAGGCAGAAAATCCCAATGATCACGTAGACTGCAGAGCAGAGTGGCAGTGAGCAGAAGGCCAGGCCGCCGGGGTCCCGGCGCACCCCAGGGAGGGCCCCATGCGCTCTTATGCCTGGGCATGGTGACCTGCGCCCGGCAGAGACAGGAGGCAGACCCCGCCTGAAGCCCCTCCTTTCGCCCTGCCGCCCACTGCACTTCTGCAGAGCCGCAGCCAGCAGGGACGCACCGAGATGGTCGTAGAAGTAGTACAGGAGCACCAGCATGGAGCAGCACATGACCACGAAGACGCAGGTCATGACGGGTGTCACATCCACAGCCTCGTCCTCCTGCTTCTCGGGCCCATCATCTCGCTTGTGTTTCATGTACCTTCTTGAGAAGTGCAGCTGGTCACAGGGACACCTGGCCGGCTGGCACAGTCCCCAGGACCACAGAGACAGGGACGGATGGGCAGACAGCTCACGTGTCGGCCTGTTCGCCCGCTCCAGACCCACTGTGGCCCCAGTGCCCCTCCGCACAGGAAAGCCAGCCCTGCCCCTAGGACCTCACACCCTGTCTAGGAGCTCGGGGCCCTTGCAGATGGAGCCCCCGCAGGTGGGCCTCTGGTCACCTGAGGGTCATACTGTGCACAGACCGCTGTGAATTGCCCCTGAGCACCACGGAGGCTACCCACAGACCCCATCTTCTGAGTGTGGCCCAGGCCTGGGAGGGCCTGGGTTCGGATCCCAGTGCGAGAGCAGAGTCTCAGGGAATGGCACCCAGAGGGCCTTTAGCTGGATCTCTCAAGTATTCACAGCAATTGTATTCCAGAAGGTTCTCTGGAAGTGTGAGCACCCCCTTTCTGGGCAGTCCTGTCACTTTCTCATTTTCACTTCCCAGCATTAGGGTCACCCATCACATACACACGTGCACACACGTGCACACACACACACATGAAGACTCACTTTTTCACATCCCGGCTGCCAGCCCAGTAGCCCCCGAGGGCGACAGTGCCAACGGCCATGACGAAGATGATGACCATGTTGTAGTCCAGCATGGGCTCATGGGGGGCGTACAACGCTGCCCTCACCGCTCGGCCAAAACTCTGCCTCAGAAAACACATCCGAGTTCAAGGCCAGGCTGCAGCCATCCCCGGGCCACTCGTCCCACGCCCTCCCCCACCACTCAAGACCCCACAGCAACCAACTCTGATGAAATAAGATGCGAACGCAGGCGGCCCTGAGCACGAACACGGACCTCGAGCCCAGAAGTGCCTGTGTGTGCACGAGGTCACACATTGCCTGGGGAGTACCCAGGGGCCCACGAGGGACCCGTGGGGGGAGACGTGAGGCCTGCACCAGATGTTTGCTGTGAACTCTGGAAGCTTCCTCAAAGACTGGAGATCCGCCCCCGCTGGTGTGGCTCAGTGGACTGAGTGTGGGCTGTGAACCAAAGGGTCGCCAGTTCGATTCCCAGTCAGTGCACACGCCTGGGTTGTGGGCCAGGTCCCCAGTGGGGGACACGTGAGAGGCAACCACACACTGATGTTTCTCTTCTCTTTCTCCCTCCTTTCCCCTCTCTCTAAAAATAAATAATCTTTTAAAAAAAAGACTGGAGATCCCATTTACTTATACAATGATATTTGTCTGCTGTGGACCCAGCTCCCCCAATCAAAGATGAATGCGGGCCTCAGGTCAGACAGCCCAGCCTGGCGTGTGCAAGCGGCAACGAGGGGCTGATGCTCAGTCTCCACACGTGGGCAGCACCAGCGCCTCACCGCCTTGGTCTCTGGTCCTGACTTTAGGTGGCACTGGAGGCCCGCCCTCACTGTGGCAGACTCACAGAGAATAAGACCCGCCCATAGCCAGGCATAGACAGGGCTTCCTTCCCACAGGCCCCACCCACCATCCACGCAGGCCCTGGGCCCAACGCAGACTGCAGAGATAGGGACCCCCTACCTTGAAAATATCCAGCATGTCTTTGTGGCTGAGCAGGGCCACCGGAATGCCAATCTCTTCATACTGAGTCTTGTTGCCTCCCGGGGGGACCTGGGAGCCAGAGGAGGCAGATCCCTGGTTGACCCAGGCCCACCCAGCATGGGGCAGACAGTCAACCCCTCCTGATGGTGCGGCTCACAGAGCCAGCCCTCTTCGAGGTAGGGGAAGATTCCCTAGTACGTGCTGGGTCCTCAGGTGTCAGGCAGTGTGGGAGAGGGGAGACTCTGGGAGGGAGGTCTGCAGGCTCTACACCACTCCGGGGAGGAAGTGCTCACCTTCCACTCAGATCTCAGGGTCAGGTCGATTAGAAGCCGATCTGCCCTGTGGGGTCCTGGAGGGTAGGCTAACACATGGACCCATGCCACCCGCTCCTCAGAAGCCCCGCCCCTCCAGTGCCCTGCCTCAAAGCCCCGTATCCCCTGACTCCCAACAGCTCTGGGACAAGGTCCCTACCAGACGAGGGTGCAAAGGCCTGAGTCCACAGCCATTCAGCAAACCAAATTCATCTCCCCTGGCTGTGGCCACCTGGACCCCAGCCAGCGCCCATGCCCACTCTGGTTGGGGCCCAGGAGCTCCCACCCGCCTCCCACCTCCAACCCTTGCCCCAGGTGGGTCTTGCTGCCCAGGAGGGTGTCCAGGTGGCTGTACCAGGGTCTCTTTGCTGACAATAAGCAGGCCGTGGGCCCCGCTGCCCTGGGCCAGCCTCACTTTGTCGTAGAAGGTACAGTTCCCCCGAGTCACCAACGGAATCTGGTTGCTGAAGCCTTTGGCAGGGAGGTCGGATGGAGAGCAGAGCATGGAGGTCGTCCAGTCCCGCAGCTGCAGGAGAGACTGAGGAAAGGCAGGGATCATGGGAGATGTTCTAGAAAAGCCAGGGAAGGACCTGGCCCTCACGGGAACCAAGGCACCAGAGAAGCCTGTCCAGTCGAGCTGGGCATTCAGCATCCAGATAAGCACAGTGAGCATTGTCCAGATGCCCCTCCCCTCTGGTCCCACTGAATCTCAGGCCTGCGCTCCAAGAAAGGAGGAGGGCGGAGGGCGGGCAGGGCCTGCATACATGTACATGCTCACGCACACACAGAGACACACACCGAGCACAAGGCAGACAGTGGGGGCAGGGCGCTATGTGCTCAGAGCAAACCCCTCAGAAATCCTCCCTGCATCTCCAGATCCACCTCCAGCATCCATTACAGATGGAACTCAAGGGGCCCCGCCCCCCCAGCGACAGCGTCTGTAGTGCAAACCACCCTACAAGTGCATTCTCTAGGCCTTTTGAGCGGAGAAGCGAGGCCAGACCAGGGAGGGAGGTCTCCTACGAGGAAGAGGGGAGCCCTAGCCCCACCAAGCCCCGCCCTCTGCCGCCACTCCTCTCAGACTCCTCTGCCAGCCAGCCCCCACCCAACAAGCGACAGCCTGGCTGGTGGCTCCACCAGGGGCCCTGCGCAGACAGTTAGAGCACTCCAGACGTCGTTCATTCATCACCAGAAACCAAGGCCCAGACATGGTGGCGCCACTCTGGGGATGCCCCAGAGGCCTCTTGAGTGTGACCTGACCCCACCCCATGGTTTCCCAGCTGAGGTCCTTCTCCCATCCTCCAGCTGGCTCTCTGCAGGCGAGTCTCCTCAAGGTGGGAGGAAGGATGGCAGCAAGACAGACAAGACCCCAAGCTGGAAGGGGTGCACAGAGCCCCCCAGCAGGGAGGGCCAGCAGCCCAGCACTCACCGCCTTGCTGAGGTCATGTGGCAGGTGGGCCCACTGTGGGTTGTAGAGGATGCAGTAGTCCTTGCCTTTGGGGCTGCCAGTCTCAGAGACCACGTGCACCATGCCATACTCACAGGCCACCTGGAGCAATGGGGCAGGGGTTAGTGAGCTCAGGACAGGGGCCAAATTAAATGAGGATGCCCCTGAGGGCTGGATTGGTTTCCTCCCGCAGACGGGACTGAAAGGGCATGAGCCTGTGTATTTCACGATGGAAAAAATGAGGAACAGAGGCAAGTACAGTGACAAGTCTCCCCCCAAGAGACTTGGGTGTGACCTCAGACCTGTCAGGACCCAGACAGTGGGCCCAGACACACCACACACATGGGCCCTGGCACTTCCTAGTCCATGGCTTCCTCGAGCTGGAAGGGCTGTTGGGCCCTGGTGAGGCTCTGCACACTTCAGACCCCAGGCCTGTCCTGCATCTCTCACTTCCCTTGGGCTGTAACCGCCTCCAGGCAGTTGGAGAACACACCCTCGGTTTTCCCAGGAGTCTGCCTCAGAGACAAACAGGTGGCAGCTGCTCCCAACAATGGACACATGGTGGGGACAGTCACCAGCTGGCACAGTGGAACCCATACCCACTCTGAGGATGTGGCTTTGCCAGGGTGGGGGAGTGGAGGGGATGTCTGATTTGACCAAGGGTCCTACCAGACTGTGGGTGCCGACACCTTGCCTGGGGCACAGGCTGGTTCTCAGACAGCCGGTCCTCAGCGGAGGCACAGCCAGGCCACTCCGGGAGCTTCCTACGCTGGCCCTAGTCACCTAGCAGTGGTGGCGGCGGTGTGGAGAAAAGCCCAGGGGGCCCCAACCTCAAAGTCTGAAGGCTCATACCAGGTGCTGAGTACAAGTCTCACTTTCCATAGTCCCCACCTGGCACCGTTCCAACCAGCCCATCAGCTCTGGCACTTGCATGGGTCACCTGGAGTGAGGTGCTGTCCAACAAAGCAGCTCGAGGCCACTGTCACCAGCACTCACAGGAGGACAGGGCATGGCAGTGGACAGCCGGAGGCCAACCAGGGGTCTCAGAGCGCTTCACTAAGGCCGCATCCTGCCCCACCTGCTTCTGCCCCCAGAGAGCCTTGGTCCTCCGACCAGAGGCAGGATTAGGAGGCCCTGCTTCCAGGTTCTCCTCACCAGACTGCCCCCCAAGGGTGCCCCTCATCCTGGCCCCAAGTACCATGCCCGGTATATGCCCCCTCCTATGCGCAGAGCCCCTGGCACCCCCTTGCCCAGGACTGCAGTGGAGAGCAGTCGAGTTCCTCAGTCCCTGGGCCTCATTAGCCACCTTCTGTTTGCAGATAGCACTTTATTGGAGCGTGGCTGTCCCAGGCCTGTACGCAGGGCCTCTGGCTGCTCTTGGCTGCCACTGCAGAGACAGGCAATTGCCTGCAGAGCCGAAAATATTCACTGTCTGGCCCTTTCCAGAAAGTTCACTGATCCCTGATCCATGGGAGCCAGGATGTTGGTGAAAATTGTCACTTGTGTAAAATGGGAATGGACAGAAACTGGTTCTTTATTTTTTAAAGTCATTTAAGAGCCCACAAGCATACTTCACGAACTTTCTTCCTCACAAGTACAACTAAGCCTGTGCTTGTATCAAATATCACAGACATCATGGTTTCACTTTGAACACAGTTCCCTCATTCTCCAAATTAAAAGAAACAGGAGAGAGTCCTTTTAAAAAGTGGGTCCTTTTTAAAACTGGGTCCCACCCCAATGTGGAGAACCAGAAACAACCAGTACTACTGCAGACAAGCCACCTTCTGACCCAGGACAGCCACAGAGCAGATCCAGAACTTCCAGGGATACTATGCTTCACGATTACTGTGAAAGCATCCACACCAGGGACTTTGAGAGTGGTCAGGGGTCCAGGTCAGTGGGTCCAGGTTTCCTCCTTCTCAGAATATGCAGTGAGTTCTGGGAGATGGCAGAGAAATAAGGACCCAAATGCTTGGAAAAAGATGTTCGGGTGGAAGGCAGTGTAAGAGGGGACAGGACAGGTAGAGGGTGGATGGGGACAAGTGAGGGGGGAACTTGTGGAAGAGGGTCAGAGGATAGGTAGAGGAGGTATGGGGACAACTGGAGGGGGCAGGTAGAGGAGGAACAACAGGCAGGTGGAGGAGGAGTAGGGGGAACAGGTGCAGGCAGAGGGGAGTATATCACAGCAACTGAGAGAGGTGGGTCTATTACAGGAGTTTAAATCCCTCACTGATCACTGATCACACAACAGTAGCAAGTGAGTTTAGGGCTGTCAGCAAGCGCTCACCCTCCTCCCCGGGAGAGCTAGTCTATTGGAGGAAGCGCAAAGAAACACACCCACCCAAGAAAGGTGCTGTGCCATCTCGGGGGTGTATTTCTGACAAGGGTACTGTTCTGGGAAGAGCAGTCCCAACTGTGTCCCTCACTCTCTCCAACACTCTCCCGATTCTCTAGGCTCAGGATAAAGTTCAAAGTCTTCTGCCTGCTCCAGATAAAGTCCAAAGGCCCCAACACCATAATCTCCCACCGCCTGGCTCTGATCTGCTCAGCCTGCCCCCTACACCCCAGCCCAGGAAGGTCACATGCCTGACTGGCCCTTTACCCTGGACTAGAGACACTCCCACTGCTGGCCCAGCCCCTGCCCTCCAGCTGAGGAGGAAACCCAAGCTTGTCTTCAAGTGCACCTGAAGGAGCTCTTTTAGGGTGGTACCTTTTTCAGGGTGCAAGCATCGGACCACCCTACACACCAACTGCAGCAGACCCCTCACAGTCCCCAGATAAGCCATCGGCTCTCACACTTCCACCCGGCTCTCACTGCTCCCACCACCTGCACCACCTTCCCTCTGCCTTCAAGACCTGAAAAACACCCCAAAGAACACCCTTTGGATGCCATTGTTTCTAAAAAGCCTTTCCAGGCAAACTGTTCCCATGACCCTTCATTGCCCCCTTTAGAAGGGTCTGGAGAGCTCAAACCCTGCCCTCAAATTGCTCAGACCTCAAACTGGTGATTAAACAAGGTCAGGGGAGCTACAGGGGGTTGGCACACAGATGGGACAGGGCATTCCAGAGAGCCTGGGAGAGAAGGGCCTGCTAAACTGAGCCCGGAAGGAAGACCAGGGCAGTCCAGGGAAACAAAAAAACAAAGAGCAGAGTGCCTGCAATCAGATAAAGCTGGAGAGGGAGGGCCACTTCCTGAGCCGCCAGATCACAAGACCTGACACACTCTGAAAGCGATCGCTACTGTTCTGAGAACGGACTGGGGGGCTGTGGGGGACAAAAGTGGCCTTGGAGAGAACCCCCCCCCCCCGCGCGCGCCAGCCACCCACCTGGAGCTACTGCAGAGAGGTGGCGGTGGGGTGGAATGAACAGGTCAAGGTTAATGGCCGCGTTTTCGGGGCTGTTAGGGAAACCATTTCCTTAGCTGCTGAACCCGGGGGAGGAGGAATTTGGAAATAAAAGATGCGCCCCTGACAATGTGTATCAGCCATTTCAAGGTCGGCCTCTCACTAGCACCCGAGACCCTTAACGTTAAGTGACAAAGAAGTAACAAACGCGCTACGGTTCATCACCCCTGGCACCATCTCGCTCGAGTCCACACCGCACTCTTAAGATCCTTTTGCAGAGAAGCACTGACGCCCCAAAGCGAGGAACTCCCTCGCCCAAGGTCAAGGAGTAAAAGTAAGATGGGAATTCGACCCCACTCCAAGGTTCCTGGCCGCTCCTGACATTGCTTAGGTGTCGCGCTGGACAGCTTACCACAGCCACGAGAGCGGGCACTAGCGTCGCGTGTAAGGGGAAACTGAGGGTCCGAGAGAGGCAGCCTCATGACCAAAGCCACGGAGGCAGACAGGAGCGTCCCCAGTCGCAGTCGGAAACCCAGAGATGGACCAGAGGGGCGGGAAGAAGATGGGCCCCCAAACTTCAGACCTCTGCGGAACTGAGTGTGCGAAGGGCTTTTGAGGAGGGAAAGGCAGCCCAGCCAGGGACACGCCCGCAAGGTCACAACGGGGCTCCGCGCCCCGCGAGCCGCCCGCGCGGGGGGCGCGGGTCCCCGAGAATGTCCCCTGGCCGGGGCGGGCGGGACGCCGCGTGCGGCTGGGGGTCTAGGGGCCAGGTCACCGCATCCAGCGGGACTGAAGGGGCGGGGGCGGCCCTCACCTGGGCTGCGAAGAGGAGGCAGGCCGCCGCGAGCCACGCCAGCGCCGCCGCCATGTTGGCGGGTCGCAGGCGTCGCCAGATGTTTCCCAGCAACGCCCCGGCGCGGCGCGCGGCGCGCGGCGCAAGCGCCGTGCCTGTGCCACGCTTGCGTGCGGAGCAGGGTCAAAGAGCGCGGAGGCGGCCCCCGCGCAGAACGGCGAGGTACGGCGCGGCAAGATGGCGGTGAGCAGAAGGCGGCGCCCCCGGGGCTGGCGGAGTGTGGCGGGGTCCGGCCGCGCTCCCTACCTCATGCGCTCTACTTCCCCTGCAGGACAAAGAGAAGAAGAAGAAGGAGAGCATCTTGGACTTGTCCAAGTACATCGACAAGACGATCCGGGTGAAGTTTCAGGGAGGCCGCGAAGGTGAGGCACTCTGTTCCACACTTCCCAACGATTTGCGAGAAGTAATTAGGGGCCACAGTGTCAGCTGATTGTGGATACCGCTTAGGTGTTTTGCCTGGATAACTCGTGCAAGCCTGCTAACGATGCCGAGAGGCCAGCTTCTATGGCCATTTGCAGCTGGGGAAACTGAGGCATGGAAAGGGGGCCAGACAAGTCAAAGCCACAGCAGCGCAGCTGGGACTGGAACGCAAGACTTCGCCTCCTGGGCTGCACGCTCCTCACTGTTAACTGTGGGACCCAAATGTACTTGGTCATGGAGGCCGTCCTGGGCACCGCGGGGTGTTGAGCAGCATTCCTGGTCTCGACCCCCGGGATGCCAGAAGCATCCCTTAGTTTTGACAACCAAAATGTGTCCAGACATCGCCCAGTGTCCCATAGTCAGTCTCCACGTGCGGATCAGAGACACCTCTTAAAAATAAATCTTGTTCGCTCTTCAGCCCTCTGGGCTCTCCCCATTGTCCCAGGGTAAAGACCAATTTTGGTACCTCTCAGTAACTAATGGAGGTCGCTTCTGCCCCTGGGGCTGCAAAGGTACATGTTTTCTCCACTTGTAATGCTTTCACCAGGTTAACTTATTACCCGGTGAACTGCCAGGGTCATTTTCCTGCTCTCAGCTCCAGGTACTGACTTTGGGAAGCCTTCCCTGACCCCTCCGCCTTCCCTGGTAGCACCTGTTAGAGTTTGCAGCTTTATGTGTAAACGAGTGCTTAACTCTGCGTCTGGTACTGGAATCGAGTGAGAAGAGGGCACTACAGCACCCAGACCCTGCCTTTCAGGGAAAATGGGCAAATAGAGTGCTGACATAGTGGGGTCCCTTCCTCCACCAGGTGAGACCAGGGCAGAGAGAGGCCTGGAAGATGAGAGGAGTTGGAAAGGAGGGGTGGGAGGAGGAGCCTCACGAGCAGAAACACGGATGAGTGTGAAGACCTGCAGGCCATCAAGAGCAGTTGGGAGAGGCATCAGGGGGCATGGAGGATGGCTGGCCTGTCAGGCACTGGGGGCTCACCCCTTCTCAGGTACAAAGATAGGCCACTTGGTTGAGGAGCTATAACCTAGGACTCTTGTTTGTTTTTTTAATTAAGGTAAAATTCCCATTAAAGTAACCATTTTAAGGTATGCAATTTAGTGGTATTTGGTACCTGCCTCCAAAAACCACTGTTAATCTTACACTTTTCCATTTCTCTTCTCTTCTTGGTGGTTCCTACAAGCCAGTGGAATCCTGAAAGGGTTTGACCCGCTCCTCAACCTCGTGCTTGATGGCACCATCGAATACATGAGAGGTGAGCGCAGCCAGCGGGGCTGGAGACCTCATTGCCTGGCCTTTCTTACTGTTCCAGACCTACTAGCCAGCCATCTGAGTGATGAGTGTGGTCCTTGTAGACCAGACAGTTGCCAGATATGTTTCTTCTTCCACTGTCCCAGCATTCCAGACAAGTTCAATAGACCGTCCTCTCAGAGACGTAAAGGATGTGGAAGTATTTTGCTAATCCATCATCACTGATCCTGAGACGCCTGCTGCTGGGCCCAGTCTGCCCTGTCTCCTGCTGTCCCGGTGTGTGACCCCTGCTGCTGACAAAGGGTCCCATTCCCCTTATACCATGACCCTGGTCCCTGAACCCCCAAGCCCCCAGCCCTTCTGTCCCCAGCAGCCCAGAGCAGTCAGGCCATCCCTGGTCCATCAGCCAGCAAGTTCTTCATCTCAGCCAGGTCAGGCATTAAGGGGATGCCAAGACCTGGGGGCCAGGGGTCGTCTTACTCCTCAGGGGATAACCAGTGTTTTGAGGCATAAGTTACTCAGATGAAAAAGTTAACGCAGCCACACAGAAGTGTCACGGGGCCACTGAGGAGAGGCCCTCTTCACAGGAGAAGCATGGCCTCAGCTCCGTTGGTCAACTCCAGGGGGTCTCTCACTATGTCTTCATTTTTTCTTCTCTCGCCTGGGTCCACCCAGAGTCCTAGCCAAGCCCCCTTGGGTGGACGAATTTCCTTACTTGTAAGATAGCCTCTTGGTACTAGGGTGGGTGTGGCTACTGCCCCTTCCACAGCCTCTCCTACCAGGGGCTGCCCCACCTACTAAGCAAGCCTGTGTTCCCTCCCCTCACTCCTGGAACAGCACCTCAAAGAGGCCTGGACCCTTTCCAGTGGACAGAGGATGGGAGGTTCAGGCCCAGACCGGTGTTGTCTCTGTAGGATCTGAGGTTGGAGGGCTGCCTCTCAGCCAAGGGTCTGTGATTTCCCTGGGCCACTTGGTGTTCCCCTCCCCCACGTCCTTCAGTAACAGTGATGGGGGCTTCCAGCTGCTGTGACCTTAAAAGAGCTTCCCTAGAGCTTGCTGTCACTTCCATGGGGTTCCTCTCGCTCTGTGTTAATGCAGTACTGACACGGGTGAACAGTGGCCCCACGGGGCTCCCGCAAATTTGTATTCCAGCTGCCTGTCCAATAACATGGCCTCAGGGTCTCTGCTGGCTCGGTGCCAGTGCCCCCAATTAGCTTCAATACCCAGCATCCCTGCTGTCCCTTGGGCCTCGTGTTCTCATTAGCAAAATGGGGACAGGATTCGGATGGTTGTTTCCAGAACTCTTCCCAGTCTGTGAGCTGTTGCAGGGAGAAAGGCTGCATTTATGGCTTTGGGAGGCACTTGGCCTGCTGCCCTAGCCAGCATGTCCCCTCCATAGTCCCCGGTGGGAGGGTAGGGGAAGCGATTAGAGGACCCTTTGACTCAGGTTTTCAGACCCCATCCTGCTCCAGGCATGGTCTCAGGCTCTTACTCCTGCCCTCTCTTTCTCTGCAGACCCTGACGACCAATACAAACTCACGGAGGACACCCGCCAGCTGGGCCTGGTGGTGTGCAGGGGCACCTCCGTGGTGCTCATCTGCCCGCAAGATGGCATGGAAGCCATCCCCAACCCCTTCATCCAGCAGCAGGAGGCCTAGCAGGCCGGGAGGGTGCGGCGGGGCCACCCCAGACTCCAGGCTGTCCCTCCTGCCTTACGTGCTGCCCACAGAAATGGGACTTTTTTTTGTATAGGTTATTTTTTTTGTTTTCTTAATAAAATTGCAAACCTCTTGTTTTCAAGAGATCCAGAACCTTGCTTTTGGCCTCAATGTTCTGGCAAAGCCTGGTCACGGGTTCAGTTCAGCCAAGTGGTCAAGCGCTAGCCGCAGTCCATTATGGGGCCTGGGACATTCCAAGATGACCAAGCCATGTACCTTCTAGGCTGGGAGATGGGGACGTATGAGGCTGGAGCCTCTGCAGGGGCCACGGCAGTTGTAGACGTCCTCTCTCCCCCTGTGCGTCCGGGAGCATGGACCGGCCACCAGCTTTCTCAGCAGGCAGATCCCAGCAGCCTGTCGCTGCTTTTCTGCTTTATCCCTTCAGTGCCTCCATACACTGTCCTGAGCGGTCCCCCAAAGCAGGGTTTTCCATATGATGTCCTCACTTACAGCTGTGTTCTCACCGAGAACAATGCAGATGGAGCCTGGATCTCAGCCTGGTCCTGCAACCTCTCCAAGTTCTGACCCACTTCTCACCTCCCTCAGTCCAGCCCAGGTCCACCCAGGGCCCTTCCCCCTGCTTTTCTCAACCAAGGACCCACCCCAACGTTCCCCTTATTCCACTCGGGTCATGTTCATGAACACCTCTCAATGCCCCATCCTTAAAATCAGAGCTTTACCTGGCTCCTGGTTCATATACCCTGTCACCATTAGAACTCTACCCCAGGGTACTGTCTGCTGAGAACATGTGCCTTGGTCCGATTTGCCACTCAGTAGGGCTGTGGGAATTGTAGGCTGGCAACTCCTCCACTAACAGGTCACACAGAAAGTGGCAGCTGGATGGGCTCGTGCACTACCAGATAAACTGAAACCGGCTGGCTCCCTGCTTATCTTGGGATCTGGGCTCTGCTCTGGCCCAGGAGCATTAGCTCCAGCTGCTGGGAATGAGCTAGGCAGCAGTGGGGCTGCCTCTTGCACATGCTCCTCATCCGTCCTGCCCTCTTTCCCGCCATCTGGTCCTGCCCTCCTCCACCAGTCTACCAGAGGCCTCATTCAAAGCCAAAGCCTCTAACAGCTGGGCATGGGGGTGCTGGCCTGGCTGTGGGAGGGTTGCACCCCCAGGGGAGGCTGTGACCTAGAACCTTGGCATACCCAGCACGCCAACATCCAGCCTTCTGTGCCTCGATGTTGGGGAATGACTCCTCCGTGTTCATTTAACAGTTGGGGGACTGGGACTTGGGCAGGGAGGCCATACAGTGGAAACACTGAAAATCCAGGCCCCAGGTCTGTTCACTCCATACACCCAGCCTGCCCTGTCTGAGGCAAGACCTGACACCTTGGGGTCAGAGTGCCCAGGGGGTCAACCCCTGGATGGGACAGGGTGGGGAGCAGCAAGCTTACAGGCTTAGACCTCATTAGAGCCTCCGGGCAGTTGGGCTGGGATAGAGACACCTGGTTTTCCAGCCCCCAGCTTCTGCAGCAGAGGAAGCAAGGTCTGTGCCTGGTGCCCACCCCCATGCCACACCCCAGTTGTGTTCTGGTACCCACCCCCACAGCTGTGCCCCTCAAGGCAGCTCCCGGGCTCCACACCACTCTCCATTCATTGCCCGCTCACCTCCCAGCAAGCCAATGAGGGCAAGAGCTGCCCTCAGCCGCCACCAAGTTCAAGGCTCAAATCTCTTTCCACCACTTGCTGTATGGCTTAC